CTCTTCGACTATGAAGTAGTGTGCGTTCGGCGCATGGCCGTAAAGAGTACTGGAGACGCCGAATCCTTCATTCTTTCCTAAGTAGATCTTTCCTTCGACACCTTGCTATAGTCCCTTGACCGCACATTCCAAACCAATGTCTGGTAAGAAACCATCCAAAGTTGCCCTACCAGTTCTCGACGATTGCCCCGCACTTCAAATATGAGGCCTTACCATCCCTCAGTTTTCCCTACCCATCACATTGACTTGCTTATAGAGTTTCTTGCGGGATACTCACGCGTTACATATGAGCAAAGTGCGCTCAAACGCAATAACTTCAGCTAATATATGACTATAGTGCGCACAGCTCTGCCCACCACCCATGCGGGGTATCGCACGATAGTAGTAGCAGTGGCAAGTATAGCTGTCATCTTATACTTTCTAAGTTTCAATCGCATTTAACGTATGGTTCGTATTTAGCACTTCATCTGTCAATGGTGCCGAAACGTTCTACCGTAAAGATTTGCAGATCAAACAAGCATCACCGGGACAAAAGAAGCCAATACCAAAAAAGGTTGCTACTTCTACCTCAACTCCGACCGTCTCAATGAAATGCTTCAGGATGAGCCACTCGGTTTCGGGGCGATATTCGCTGATCATATGCTAGAAATAGACTATGATCATGGCAAATGGGCTAAGCCTGTCATACATCCGTACTGCAACCTTTCAATTGATCCTGCAGCCATGGTATGGTGCAAGTTCTTCTACAAAATAAATAACGCGCTCAATACATCGTTCCACACACTTTTTTGAAAAATCCATGAACCAAATTCCCGGTTATAAAAAGCAAATGATGCATGCGCTTGAGCTCAAACATAACTGTTGTACCTCGAAAGACAATGTTAAAAAATGGAATCAGAGGAAACTACACGCAGTGAAGAAGACGTTTCTAGGTACTGCATTATGCTTATGAGTTATTCGAGGGATTGAAAGCCTATCGTGGTGTTGACAATCGTATTCGCATGTTTCGTCCAGAGCTAAACATGGCAAGGATGCGAAGATCCGCTAAAAGAAGCACTCTTCCAGACTTCGATGGAAACGAGCTTTTGGAATGCATAAAGGAACTGGTAAGCGAGTAAGAGCTTTGTACAACGCACGCGATTTTCGACAATCTACCCATCCTGCCTTGCATGTTGCGCTTCTTTAATGACAGTGATAATGCAACGCCTAGCAGCCTTTCCTTTGACAATAGGATTGGCAGCTGGAAGACGGGATTTCGAAGGCTAGGGAATGATCAGAGAGCACGGGCGCGAGAGGGACGCAGACGTCGCAGACGCGAGCGGTTGTTTTCCTACCGCCTACCTGATTGAAAAAGGGTAGTTTTGAACTTTCAATTTTTTGTAATGCCATTCTGGCGATAAAATAAAAGAAATTCACGATGCAACCGGGCTCGATGGTATAGGGACAAGTAACTCCAGGATTTTCGACGCTGCGTTTGTAAGAGGGCTTGATGAGGTGTAGCAAAGGCCAGCTAGACATTGAATCGAGAGAAATAGCAGAGTGTAATTCAAAGACACGAGCTGTCCTGCTCCACTGCCGCTGATTGTAAGTCCATCGCATCGTAAATTCTTTTTCTAATTT